ATAAAACCTGCTTATTTCCAATGGGGTCCTAAGATGGTACAAGTTGATTATAATTTAATTGACTAAGACAGCATAGACAAAAAATTAAAAATAAATTGAGGATTTAATAATTTTCCTAGCCTGAATAAAATAATTTGACATATATATACATAATCACAGTTTCAGGTTAATACAAATTATTTTAAAAAGTTTCATTCCCTTGTAAAAATATTATATATAAATACTTTCTTCCATCCTTCGAGCTTCTTGTGTAAGATGCAACTTGACAGCAGATTTAAAACTAGCTCTATTGGCTATAGTTTTTACTTCCAATGGAAGAGAATTCCAGTTTAAAATGGCTTGATAATAAAAATTTGAATCACTGTATGCTCCAACCCTGGGTACATGATAATTAAAATTGGACGCTCCCCTAGTAGCATTATTATTCCTATTAAAATTCTCATTTAGATAATTTGGTGCTAGGCTATGATTGATGTTAAAAACATGATTTAGTCTTAACTGTTTTACACGATCAGATACACGTAGTGTATTTATTGAATCTAAAATATCGCAATTGATCCTGGCTCTAGGATTCAGATTTAAAATAAATCTTACTGTTTTGTTTTGATGAACTTGTAACTTATTTTTCAAAGATTTGGACAGACTTTCGTACCATGCTGATGAACAGTAATCAAAATAGCACTGAATTAGTGCAGATGCTAATGTTAATCTGGATCTTTTATTTAACCATTTTCCATTCCTGTATAAGAACTTCAGTCTAGAATTGACCTTGGCCGCGATCTCATCTACTATTAAGTTACATTTTAGAAATTTATCAATTGTGATTCCTAGATACTTAACAGAGTCACTGGATTTGATAATATGATCGTGACATTTAACCTCAAATTGACCTTCATTTTTTAATTTGCGACTTGGGCCAAAAAGGATAGACTCTGTTTTTCCAAGATGGAGAGATAACTTATTATCTATTAGCCACTTGGAACACTTCTCTAGCACCTTCCCAAGTTTGTTAGAGATAACATTAGGGTCTCTATGTGAGTATAAAATAGCGCTATCATCAGCATAAAGAATGAGTTTACAATCTGTATCTATACTGATGGACATATCATTAACATAGCATAAAAACAATAAAGGGCCTAAAATGCTCCCTTGGGGAACCCCACAAGTAATTTTCTTTGATTTAGATACAACACCTCTACAACCCACCACCTGAGACCTGTCAGTTAGATATGACTTAAACCATTGATTATCAAATCCCATAATGTCTAATTTGTTACATAATATTTCATGGTCCACTGTATCAAACGCTTTTTGTAGGTCTAACATTATCATTCCTGTAAATAATCCCTTAGAGTTATTGTCCCTAATATGGTCCAACAAATGTATAAGGCATGTATCAGTAGAATATTTACTCCGAAACCTAGATTGAAACTCATACAACATGTTATTGTTATGTAAAAATTCCTTAAGTTGACAATAGACACTTTTCTCTAAAATCTTTGATACTACACTTAAAATACTCACTGGCCTGTAATTCCCTACTTGGAGTGGGCTACCCTTTTTAAATAAAGGCTTGACCCTAGCCTGTTTCATACTCTCTGGTACACATCCAGAACTTATTGATTGATTAATGATTGAAGTTATAGGTGATTTAAGAACCCTTGCTCCTATTTTTAAAAATTTTGCTGATACCTCATCAAGACCAGTACTTTTTGTTGTACTAAGACCACATAGTTCTTCATACACAAAAGTCTCCGACACAGGACTTAAAATAAGAGAATTGTTGTACAAATTTCTGTTTGAATAAAAACCTCTAAAATGATTTGACAAAACATTGTAATTGTGCCCTTTGCAGTGGGTAGAGCTTCCACCAATTTTGATGCAACTGTAGTAAAAAAGTTATTAAAATGATTAGCAATATCCATGTCATCATGACTAATATCATCATTAATATTTAAAACAATTTTTTTCTCTTCTTTCTTTTGATTTCTATAACCTAAATCTTTCAAATGTTCCCAAAGTTTTTTAGGATTATCCTTATTTTCTTCAAGTTTTTCTGTTACATACTCTGACCTAGCCTTTTTAATCTTTCTTTGAACCAAATTTCTAACCCTTGAAAAATTTTTCTGATCTTCATCTTTTTTGCTTTTTCTAGAAATGTTCAAAAGCCTATCTCTCTCATTTATAAGTTCTAAGATTTCATGATTCATCCAAGGTTCTGTTCTCTGTTTTAATCTCACTTGTTTTACAGGTGCAAATCTATTAACAATATTCAAAAATACTTCCTTGAATGCATTCCAGTTTGAATCAACACAATCAGATGATATACAAGATGTCCAGTCTACCTTTTCTAGTTCTTCAACAAACATAGCAGAATCAAAATGTTTCATTGATCTAATCTTCACCGTGTTATGTTCTTTAATTTGACCTTTAGAAATTTTTCTTGTGCAAAAAATTAGATCATGATCACTGAGACCTATTGTGATAGTGCCTGCCTGAACATATTTTTCATCATTGTTTACCAAAATATGATCTATTAGTGAAGAGCCCATTTCAGTGATTCTAGTTGGAATTGTAATCAATTGGCTAAGCCCAAACAAATTTAGAACATGCTTATATCCTTCATATAATGGATTTTTCTTATTTTGCATACAAATATTAAAATCGCCAAGAATAATATTATCTAAGTCAGATCTTAGACACCCTAGGCACTCCTCAAAATGTCCAAGAAACTATTGATCCTGGAGTGGTCTGTAAACTGTACCCACTATAAAAGGTTTTGTTTTTGGTAGGTAGATTTCCGCCCAGACAGATTCTGTGTCATCTGAATTGATTTGTTGTTGAGAAAAAGCAAACTTATTGTTGATGAACATACACACACCTCCACCATTTCTATTTCTATCTTTGCGAATTACAGAGAAGCCCTCAATATGAATTTCTGAGTCGTTAACTGAAGAGTCTAGCCATGTTTCACATATCCCAATTACTGCTGCTTTCGTTTTTTGTGCTATGATTCTGATTTCAGACATCTTTGGTAGTAATGATCTTATATTTAAGTGTATAAAGTGCATGCCTCTACGCTTAAAGCATTGGAATTTTTCATCATCCATATCTTCAATGCCGTTTGCTAAATCGTTCCTAATAGGTGTATTACTTAAGTGATCATTTTCGGATGGAGAAGGTGATGGAATTTCGAAAGATTGATTTCTCTCTGTCGTAAGCTTCATGCTACCCGTACAATTATCACAATTAAAAAGATATTGCCTTTTTTCACAGATGTTTAAACTCTGACGAATTTCTGTTTTTAAACATTTGACGTGAGTTTTTTGATGACAACTGGTACACTCGGCAGCTTTGCTGTTAGCTATAACACCTCGAGAACAGATAGGGCACGGATGTTTTGGTGTGCGTGTCTTTGGGCCTGGATTTATATGGACATCCCCACTTCTCAAAAGTGTAAGGCAAGCAAAACATGTTAACGATGGTTTTAGTACAATTGGGATATTTGATACAGAGTGTTCGATTAGGTAGTCTTTCCCAAATTTCCTCTGACTGTTTTTGTTTTTAGTTAATGGTTGACATAAAATTGATGATATAAGTTCATGTTACAGTATCTGATTGAAAACTTTTTCTATTGATTTCTAATTTTTCTGTCAATTTCATCTTTAATACATGATTTTGTTCCAACTTTGTCATTTCAGACCAAAATTCATGTAAGTGTTCGAATCACAATGTCATATTTTGAAGGAAAAAGTTTATCTAAGAAAATTATTTATTTATTACATGTAATTTATGGATATACATGTATTATGTATTGAATATATAGAAATGTATTGGATTGAAGAGTTTATGCAAAATCTATCCTTTCTTTCCACACCTTTCAAGAATATCTGTTGAAAACTGAGCTTCGCGATCAGGGCAGTATTCACACCTTATAGAATTTGTTTTCTCATTGTGACCCTGATTATGAATTCTAGTACTCGATCAGCTTCACACTCTATGACACGTGCCATTTTCTGTATTTTATTCTCCTATATATGGATACATCAATGTACATGTAGCCAGTTTTTACTTAATATGGTAAATAATTTTTAAATAAGTGAGATAAAATTCAATAATAAGAATGTGCTGAAAAAGACCAAACGTATTGCACAACTAAGATATAAGCAACAGACATACATGTATATGAATGTGAATTAATCTTTCATGTAAAATTTTTTTAAATCCTAATTTGTGGCTTAGTTAACATGGTTAAGGCCACATTACTCATTAGAGGAGTCTGAATTACACATTTTTATGTAAGCAGTGCAGCCTGTATATATGTGCCTCAAGAAGATCTTCAAGTTTTCTTTTTTTATTACCATTTTAGGCAATTATATTTTTCTTTTTTATTTTCAAAATGAGCTTTTCACTTTTTTTTATCTCTTGGGAAAACAAAAACTTCAAGCAATGATGTCCTTGGTGACTTCTATTCCAGTTTCAGATCACAGCTAAATGGCTTCTTCTAATTGGTTTTTCCTCCGAGTCATATAAAACAAGAAAAAGATTGTGTGAACATATCAAAATTGTCACCTTCTTCAACACTGACATTCCGAGCATAAAAGAGACAAAATTCATAAAACAGATACCTTGCCTTTGTTGATGAAAAAAAAAAAAGAATGCTTCAGGCAAAATTCAGATTTTGGGTTCATTTTTTTGTAAATGAAAAATTAAAAGAGTCATCAATAGATTGATAGATCCTTTTTTGGTCGCCATGACGGTTTAGATATCTAACGTTTAACAGTGACTGATCTGGCTTATGTGGGGTAATACGATATCGAAGGCTAGAGGATGAAATACAATCACATGTTGATATTTATGAGTGTCAGTAATATTTCTGATGTACCAGTATATTAGAAAGAGTACTCTAGTGTTTTTTTTATTTTTCAGATTGCTTTTGGTGAGTCGCATTGAATATCTTAACAGAGGAACATAAAGGATTGACTTTGTACAAATGTTGGAAGGGGTTTCACAGATGTAAAGGAACATTTTTAAACAGTGAAAGCTTCAAATGGGTGCTGAAAGAACACAACCTTGATGTTAGAGGGAAGAAACAGTGAAATTATAGAAATATCATAGACTGCAAAAAAAAAAAAAAAAACTGAATGGAATCGGCAAAATATTGACCATGTTGACTGGGGAATACATGATGAAATGAGGTAAAAAATTGTTAAGTAACAAAGCAAACAATTAAATATTGACATTATAAAAATAATTTTCATTAAAGAAACTGATTGACATTTAAGACAATTTCTTCCTTGCAAAGATCATTGACTATATATAAAACTACTTCGTAGAGAATACGTGTGTATTAGAACTAAAAGATATACTGTATTAAGCTGAAATTAATTGTTTACTTAAAACAAAATCTAAGTAAGATGTTATAAAGTTGTTATTGTAATGTGGAAAGGTTAAATTGAATGTCTATCCTTATTTTCTTACCCCCACTTAATAGACTTGTGTCAGTCTTCTATACATTACATTGTACCTGATACGTAAGGAAGATATTGCTGTCAAAGCCATAAAATTTAGGGGCATCTCATGTTTTTTAACAAGGAAATTTCTGGAGAGCTATCGAGGAAGCTACCTTAATCACAAAACACAATTTTTCCACAATTTCAGATTTATACAAAGTTGTGTATGAAGAGCAGAAATCTTTCCCCAATGTCTAGTGGTGCCTTCGGAGGGCGATATTTCATCCACAATGTCACAGAACAGGAATCAGATGATGCGTATTTTAGTTGTACATCCGGCGATGATTGCAATCGATTGAACAGTTGCGACGGAACTTCTCATCGTCAAAGTAGTGAAATGACAAAAGAAACTTGTTCCACACAAGAGGACGGTGGATGCTCCGTAGAACAAGTGACATGCATGAACGGTGCTTCGCCTGATCGAGTGAAAAGAAGGTCGTGCACGCGACAAAATTCGTCAATTCCGGGTGAAAAATATTTGTGTCAGAAGGACTCTAAAGGACTGGTATCCAGGTATGATGTTCGGAATCTGGAGTTCATGTCGGCGGATTGTTACCGTAACGATGTTCCCTACAGACAAGAGGAAATGGACGACGAAGGAAGTAGAGACTCGAGAAAAAATCACAAGTGCTCAAATTTAGAAACCGAGACCCCTTACCAGCCTTCGTGTGTTGTAAATTCTTGGGGACATTTTTCTCAGTGTGTCAAAAACCGGTACAAATATCGGCGTAGTGACTACTCCAGTGAGAGTGACGAAGAACAAAGTGTTCCCCAGTGGCCAAACAAATCGGAGATCATGCAGCCTCAAAAAAGCCACCTCCCGACCTGTGATCTCAGCACACTGACACCAGTGTTAAAGTCTAAGGATGCTGGGAAAAACGAAGTCATCAAAAGCATCACGTCCCGTACGAAAGATGGAATAAAACCTACAGTATTCAAAGAGAAATTGGCAGTAAGTGCACACAGTGGTGTCATGTGGGTGTGATTGTTTTTATCCCCTTTTGTATGTTTCAATACTCTTTTCAGTTTACTTTAGACATGTTCGTTAAGTCCCGTTGACATGGTTGAGTTGCTCATGTTGTTTGACCATATTGCCTCACATTTAAACAGGACGTAAAACAACATACAGTCTTACATCCTTTAGTTGTCATAACTTTTAGGTAAAAAGTAATTTCATCAAATGTTAGCTCTTATGAACCATGTGAGTTAATTGTGTGGTGTGCATCAACCTTTAGTAATAGGGGCCATATCTCAGGAACTCCATGGCCAATGTTGTAAGATATATTCACAGGGTATCCTTTGTCAATAAAACTTTTTAGTAAAATTTAAAACTGGGGGGTGAAACTTAAACAAGGGGAGATAATGAGGAATATATAAAATACAACTTTAGTGGGTAAAAAAAGCTTTTTTATAATCAACAAGGTCAAGGGTGCCTCTTCCAAAATTGTAGAGTCCATGACCCTTGGGTCAGTGATTCTAGTGTAAGGGTGGGTCTTCATTTATTATTTGGTGAAAATTTTGTATTTTATGAAAATCTTGTTCTTGGGTACATTATGTAATATTGATCCCTGGGGTATGAAGAGGCCAGTCAATTTGTGACCTCAGTGTATTGTACTAGGAAGCCTTAGTAAAAAATCTTTGAAAATCTTCTCCTGAATAGCAAAGCCATGAGTTGTCATATTTATATGGAAGCTTATGGTGAACAAATAGAAAAAAATAGGAAAGTAGAATGCTTCAGGGATTGTTCTTTGTCTATTTTTTCTCAAATTTAAGAATATATATATTTTTAAATTTATAGGGTCTTTAAAATGAGACAATTTGCTGATATTTTCAGTGCACGATAAGTTGAACAGGTGGAATAGCTTCAAATGATTCATAATGAATTTAAGAATATATCAAAGCAGGCTTTGAGATCAAAACTATTAAATAGATGTTACAAATAAGAATATAACTTTTATGGAGAAGCATTTGAATAACTATAAAGAAATAGGTACCATTTTACATTTGCAGCTACCATGATTATACCCCTAAAATTTGACTCCTATGATTTTTTCAATTTCTCATTTTGTTGTCATAAAGTGAACATGATGAATGCAAGTGCACTAAGTGTAAAGAATATGTATGATAAAGAAATCTACTTCATGTTCATTGTGTGAATATGATAAAATTTTTTTTTAAAAAATGTGTATTTCTTTGTAGACCATTCTTCGCTGGTTTAATGAGTTCAATGACATCCAGAAAAACACACTGATAAGTCGACTATTGGTGAGTATCATTAAGACTGTGCTTGTCTCCTGTGTTGTATGCCTGATTTGTTTAATTGACATAATTAATAAACTCAAATCTCTACATTTAGTTTGTATGTTTATCTTATTTTGTAAACATCTATCTTTACATTTTGCTTAATATTAAGTAAGCTTAAATCTTTATGTTTACAGATTGAAGGACTGTGATTTAGAAAAGTGTGATTTTTTGGTTACAGAAGGACTGTGATTTAGTTAATCTTTACATTTACAGAAGGACTATGATTTAGTTAATTTTATTCTTTAGGTTTACAGAAGGACTGCGATTTAGTTAACTTTATTCTTTACGTTTACAGAAGGGCTGTGATTTAGTTAACTGTATTCTGTATGTTTACAGAAGGACTGTGTCTTTAACACACTTTAATCTTTACATTTACAGAAGGACTGTGTCTTTAGCACACTTTAATCTTTACATTTACAGAAGGACTGCGATTTAGTTAACTTTAATCTTTATGTTTACAGAAGGACTCGTCTGTGATTTAGCTAACTTTAATCTTTATTTACAGAAGGACTGCAATTTAGTACACTTTAATCTTTACATTTACAGAAGGACTGTGATTTAGTTAACTTTAATCTTTATTTACAGAAGGACTGCGATCTACCCCAAAATCACCTCCTCTCTGTGAGGGTCTCCTCACAGCTACACAAAGGCTGCCCCCCAAACTGTCAAGACATCATCACCTGGCTACCAGCTACCATAGCAACCAAAATCATGTCTTACCTTGACCCTGGTGAGTAGCATGGCAACAGTTATTGCAGTATTTAAGAGAGTATTTCTCACATGTATGCAAATGGAGGAGGACATTTAATATATGGTTTTATTGTACAGCTGAAGTTGATCAGAGTTGAAATACTGTAAGCATATTACATTTGACTGTGTATTCTTTTTAGTACCTTTGGCAGAAAGAAACTTCTATTAAATCAAGTACAATGCTAAATGTCTTGCACATAAATATGCAAGTAAGAAATTAAAGAAACGGACTAAATGAAATCTATGCTAAACTTATTAAAAAATCTTTATCCGCCTAACTGCTACACTCTAAATATAATACATTAATGTCTCTATATTGCCATGTATTTGTTGACCTCAATTAATGCATCTGAATCATAGTACATGTACATTTGTTGGCTGATACAAGTAGTACTAAGAGTATATTTGCCATCATTCTCTGTAAATTGACTCCTCTTGCCTGCTTTATTTTCATGTTGTGATATAGCTGTCTAGTAGTGGGTAGATATTGTCACACATTGGAGACATTAATTTATTATGAAAATTGATACTGTTCATTTTGTTTGCAGTTTTCAAATATTACAGTTAATTAAATAGTTATACCCTTTGTACACTAATGAAAAATGTTTCTCGGGCATTGAGAAAGACATAATTTGAACATAGGGATACAGCTTTGTATAGCACCAGCCTTTTACCCTCAGAAAAAAATGTTAAAAAAACACAGCACCAATTATGTTCAGTGTAAAATGTACATGTATTTTGACTCACCCAGACATTAATGAAGAAGAAAAAAATGTTGCACAATGTGTAATATTACCATCAGCTGATTTCTGTATAAAAGAATTTATAGGAATTAACTTGATCCTATTTAATATTACAATTGGCACTGGAAGGATGCATTTATTGCTGATATACAAGTCTGAACCTATAGTCTCTAGAATTCACATTTATTATTATTTTAATTTTATAAGAAACACAAGATTTAACGATTTACTCCACTTGACGTTACTTTTAAAATTTAATCAATATGAAGCCTTATTCTGGGGGGAAAATTGTCTCATTGTCTGCACTGAAATTAAATTATAAGGAATGAAGCTTATTTCAACTTATATTATACGATATAACAAAACTTGGGGTAGTTTATGATTTTTTATAATCCGCTTTGCGGTCTATAAAGCGTTAACTGCCCCAAGTTATGTTATATCATATAATATAAGTTGAAGTAAGCTTCATTCCTTAAATATTTCATAAATTGAAAAAAAAAAATGACCTTGCAAGTAAATTCTCATATATTGTATATTTGCTACTAAAATATCAGAAATAAAGGCAAAAATTTACTTTGGTTAGTTTTGTGAACTTCAAGGTTAGATTCACTTTCAAATTGTTACAGTAAGCTTGTGTCGAGCTGCCCAGGTTTGTCGGGTGTGGCGATATATTACGGAGGACCCGTCGCTGTGGAGAAAATTCTGTTGTCAACAGACGTGGCGGCTCTCTAAGGCAGCAGAACACAAACAAGTCATCAGTCACATGACCGGAGGCAGCATCATGGTTAGTCAAATGTTTGAACGTTGCAACAGATTCACTGCCTCAAATAAAACATTTCTTTGATGTTTGTTTGAGGCTCTGATTTTCTCTTGTGCTTTCTATTTATATTTATAAAAAAAACTGTTTTATGAGTGTACATACTTTCTTCAATGGCTAATTAATGTTTGTATTGAATAGTTAATTTTACTGGTTTTTCACCATGTTGACAGGATATTATACACGGTATCACTTTCAGATTTTTTATTCAGAATATAAGTCCTTTGTTGTATTTTACTTTAATCCTCACTGATTGAAGTGAAAGAACTTTCATGAGTCAGATAGAATTACTCACATGTACGCTTGTCAGTGTCTGATCAGTTAATATACAGTGAAACTAGTTTAATCTAATTTATGTGTTCTGAAAATATTTACTAATACAAAGTCAACTTTAAGGGCTTTTATGTTAGAATTAACGTTGTTTAATCTGAAATTAAAGGTGCATCTCGTCCTGGCCAATTTCTTTGGAAACAGCGATGTCCAGATTTAAACTATTTTTTTTCTGTATAATTACATTTGAAATTTTTTTCAATATCAACTATTAATAAATTCTGTTCAATCCACATGTAGAAAAAAATTACACAGATATATCAATATATGGTTTTTTGGATTATGTATATGTTTGTCTTGAAAGCGCTTTGAGTAAGCTTCTGTGAGAGACAGTGTCTCTGAGACACAGAAAAAGTGTAAATAAAAAAGTGTAATAACTATAAATTAATCCCAAGCAGAGAACATGTACTTGTACAGAAAATTACTGTGCATTAATGGAGTCATTTTAATTTGGGAGGAGAGGGGGGGGGGGGAGTTACGTGTTGGTGGGCAAGCAAAATTTACTTGTCAGTGATCGTGGGGACCTAATTTTATGGGTTATTTGTTTTTACAATAGATTTAATGAATCAGTATGCTCACAAGATGAACACAAATGATCATAGGGGATTTAAGTTTATGGGCAAGGGTGACACATAAAATCCACATACATTGGTCCCTCACAAACAATGATGAATCAATTTATCCAATTTTTGCTCACTTTGTGTGTCTGTTGAATAAGTTGAGTGCATGAAACTCTTGTAGAAATGACCAAATGGTAGTTCTTTTCATCACAACTCAATATTTAACACGGGCACTAGAACTCAACAGAGGCAACACTAATACATGTATCATGTTAGGTCAAGGTCAGGAATCTAAAACCCTTTTTTTGTTTGTTATTTTAGTTTCAAATAACAGTTTACAATGAAGAAGTCTTCTATGAAAGTCATGATTCTATACTTTGAAAAGCTGTGTATTTAAGAATGGGTAAAAATGAGAATCATTTGAGAACACAAAACATGTATAGCCTTCACATTAAATTTCCCATTAGCTTTTAATTAACCACTTTGCCATTCTGCAAGTAGATTGTGATATAGAATTTATCAGCCTTAGGGTATTTACTATAAAATTCCTAGTACAGTAACAGTGATTGGTAATTATATAATCTGACAATATCAGAGAGTTTCTGGACAAAGTTTCTCTTTGTATTTCTTTTCAGTGGAAGAAGGTTTTTGCCGAGCGATTCAGACTTCGAAACAACTGGCTAAGTGGACGGTGTACTGTAAGGACATTTGAAGGTCATTCACAAGGTATGAAAAGATTGTTAGTAGGTTGTTTAGTTCTTGTTCATAATTGATGTGTTTTGTAGAATTTATGGTATTAGTCACAAAACTAGGAGTTGAAGTATTTGATAAAATTATTTCTGTGAACAAATCATGGCCTATTAACAATTTATATTGATGTCAATAAATTCATCATATGACATTTTCTCTTGCTTTGAAGCAGTCATGAGCTAGGTTTTATTCAATTATTATTTTTAACATGTTTATTAATTCTTAACAATGCTGGGAGACAAATTTGAAATATGTGATTTATTGTTAGAAAAGGTAGATAATAGGTATAATTAGCAGCTGAGAAGTGCGTAAAACCCAAGTTATCCTCAAACAGTATTATTCTGATCAATTTAAAAAGTGGGCAAAAAATATGTTCACTGGAAAAAATGAAGAAAGAAATAACAGATTTTGCTATGCACAGGGTCAAATACACCTCCATCTTCACAGAAAAATTTAAAATTATTACGGCCGGGGGAAATGCAAGTCAGGTTACTATAAATATACACAAAATACTCTCATAAAAAAATTGTAACGAGCAAGAAATTGCCAAACACCAAGAAAAATTTTAATATCTTTGTCTCATTTCCCCCAGAAGAACATTAATGGCCTCATTTTCCCAGCAGATATTTGATATTTTATGAGAATTAGTATTTGTGAAAATCAATTATCATGGCAGTTGCAAGGACTTTGAAATCAAGCCTACAGGTCAGATGTTGTAACATGGAGAGAACATTCCCTCCATGCTGTATTGATTTTTTTAATTTTGTTGACACCTTCTTGCCTTTGGGGATATTTGACGATTTTCTTTGAAGTTAGTATCAAGTAGACTAGGAGTCTGCAAATATTGGTTTACAAAGCAAAGACAAGAATGTTACATTCCTTTTTTCACCCCAAATTGACAAACTTTTTGGTAAAGTTAATTGTTTTAGCTCACCATGAGAACAAAAGACAAGATCATTCAGATTCATAAAAAGCATCCTCACATGTCATCTAGATTCAAGTTTATTCAAATCATGATCCCAAAGAATCGGGGGAGGCCACAACTGGTGATCAAGTTTTACAATGGGAATTTAAAATATCTAGAAAATAAATAATCTATTGATAAAGATCAAGAAGGGCCATAGTAATTCAGGTGAGCATTGTGGCATATGGGCCTCTTGTTTGGTTTGTACTCGGGTACTTGGTACTCTAGGTTGCTGTGTACTTGCTGGCTATTTACTGTAAGGGAAACAACCTTTAAATTAAAATGTTATCCTTTCTGGTTGATGAACTACAGATACCTGAATTACACAAGAAGTTAATTATTTTTTCCTGAGATAGAAGGATTCACATTATATATAATTACATAGGCAAAGGTGATTGCCTTCTTCTATTTCACACATCTGAACTGTAATCATGGTAATGATATTGCTAATATTTCAAATGCTGACATGTGATGAAAGAAGACCACATATTGTATGACTGTACATGACATTGTGTTGAATCTCTCATGCTGCATTATATTTCTGATATTTCAAATTCTGTCATGTGATGAAATAAGACCCATACTGTATTTATACAAGGGTTATCTGGTATAATGATGGACAATGCCTTTAGCTTGAGTAATAATGGGTGCACTAAAGTGAAATTTTCAACAAATGTTTATTTCTCATATCTTATTTTTTGGTTAAAATGTGGACAAAAATGAAGATTTTATTATGCTTGAATGTGCACAGGGTTCGGTCCAAGGGGGCACAATAAAAAAACCAAGATATATATTTATGGAGAAGGATGACTCTTGAAATCCACAAACATTTCATGGTACCCATATACTTTGATGACTAAAAGGTATACTCAAGTGTACAGTTATTATATTTTTATAGGTATTTCCTGTGTACAGTTATTATATTTTTTATAGACTGGTATTTCCTGTGTACAGTTATTTTATTTTTATAGGTATTTCCTGTGTACAGTTTGATGATACCAGAATTGTCAGTGGATCTTCAGATAAAACCATTAAGGTCAGTATAAAAATCACTAAGGATTAAATCGAGGTAAGCTGGGAAAATTTAATGCCCTAGATTAAAAATTGGTTGTTTTTATTAATTTTCATATATTTGCCAAGCTCTTTAGCTGAAATTTGATATTTATGAGATTGAAGCTTCTTATCCCTGTCACAAATATTGATGAAACTAGAGCCAAGCTCGTTGCAAAGCAACGAGTAGGTCTTCCGTTGGAGCTGTGGACAGGAAGTACAGACCTTAGGTCAAGGTCACAGCACTTTCTTATCAACAACCTTTCTTCCCAGCATGAGCCTCCAGTAAATTTTAATTATAAAGTTATGCTTGAACATTTTTTTCTTTGTCAGTGACCTTGATTTGCCAGAAAGACATTTGATCAAAGTCATGACAAAACCTCCAATCATAAGTAATGTATGTTTCAAGTAAGAGCCTCAAATGATTTTCATTTTCTAATTCATAGCGTAGTAAAGAAAATATTTCTTCTGTCAGTGACCTTGATCTTAACAGAATAACCTTGGCTCTGTGTCAAGACAAACAACTTTTAGTGATTAGAAGTTCATAACCCTGACAGGAATTTTACAACTTTTCTGTCATTGGCCGATGAAGTTGTTTCAAATTTGCATTATCTCGCACCATTTTGTCACAGGTCAGAAAAAAAAAACATTGAGGTATTTTAAAACATCACCGGATATTAATATTCAAACAACATGGAGTTTCTATTTATGAAAGATAGACAGGGTTGAAAGTCCTTTCCATAATACGTATTTTAGGGTAATAGCTTTACTTTCAATAAAATTAAACTCAGAAGTCCACAAATAAAATATCTTTCCTCATTTATTTCAATTTGAAGTTTGGGTAAAGAGGGTGAGGAGCATTGGGATGTCATGATGTATACGTAATACATTCGAGGTTATTATTCTGTTAGACAGGAAGACCCGAGGAGTTGTGATTTGCTGATCATGATCTAAAACACGTTGACAAACCAAAACCACGTGGTTTTATACACATTATTCAATCAATTCATTCATAATTATTCTCCTTGAAGGAGGAATGCATGGATAAAGGATTAAAGAAAATTCCCGATGTACAATAGCATCTGTGCATGGACTTCATTTTAGTACTACATAATGATATTGTGCTTGAAGTTGAATAAAATCATCAAATAAATTAAATTTAAATAGGAAAGGGAGATTATGTTTAATAGAATAAAAATTAGACAATACTTGATACAGGGACTCGCTGGTAAAAACTTGAATGTACTTGAATAAAATGCCTCTCACTCGTTTTCTCTCGTACGCGTATTTTTTAAACCAAGGAAAGTAATTTGCGCTAGATATAGGTTCATCATTTTAAAGAAAATACTGAGATATATACGGTAAACGATACAAATGGTTTGACTTTGGTGTCGGTTATGATTTTAACAGTTTAATTTAGGTTGTAAAAGCGTTTAATTACATGATAAGTCTGTAATATTCAGATAACATTGTTACCCCGGTATATAAGTTCTTAAATTTTCGATTCTGGACATATGCGGGTTTACTACCAGTTGAATGTACATTGTATAACCTGCTACTGATATTTAATCACGGAACAAATTACAATGTGAGCACAGTATACTAATCATTTATACGAGTTTTGAATAAATTATAAAACAAATTAAGTTCATTGCTTTAAAATCATTATTTCTTGATCTTTACTATAAAACCTGTAATAAATAAATAGATAGACAGTGTACAACACAGAAGTCACTTATGAAGTTTACACGTGCCGGTGTTACTTATCGATGTTTAGTCCATTTCATTGAGTATAATTCTATCCTTACGATTCGGAAGATTCTCTTTAAAAGTTTAAAATTGGTATAGCAATGGTTAATATCTGTGATAAAAAAATATGTTTCGGAAATCTTGTGTTGAAAACGGATTTATTTGTGTGTGAAAAGAGCAAAGCTTGTGCATTTTAATAAATATTGGTTGAAGTAAAGTAACTGCAGATCGCCAGTCCTTGCACTATGAATCGTCAAATTACACATGGATCTAACGAATATTTATGAATTGAAGACTGATTAATGTACATGTAAAATAAATGCCCCAGCGTTTACTAAAGTCCAACCTAAAACATTTTAAGATATTTTTGAAAGATATAATTTACTTAGAGAAAATAATATTTTCTTACTGTTGTAGAATGGTTTGTATATACCAATTATTTGCCTATGACTGCGGGGTCAATGGTTCACCGTGGTGTGTCGCTTTAGAATTTCTCGGCAGCGTCTAATCGAAAGATAGATTACGTAATGGTAAACACACTTTAAAAAAAGAATTCTGGTTCCAGGTGAATATGAGAATCGCACAGTAAATAATTGTGTATTATTTGACTCTTAAAAGTTTTTTTTAATGAAATCCGGGCGTATATTGTTTCCGTTCATATTGTTTATGTTCATATTCAAACGAATAAAAGATGCTCGTACTTTTTTTCTATAACTCTTTCTCTTGGAAAGATCTTTATTAATAAAAGGAAAAACATACCACCGAATACTCTGAACGGGAAACAAAGAACACGTTTAAAACCTAATTCAAAAAAGAGATATGATACAGCGTGGTAAAATATTTATTACTTACGGCAAGTTTATTTCAATTATAGGCATAAAGAGTTCTTCAATATCAAAATGAGAACAGAGCCTTGTTTACGGTGAATACGGATCTAGCTTTCTTTCCTACCATACGTAAGACTCGAACAAAATAATATTTTCATGGGACAGAGATAGTATAAGAATGAACAATTTTATCAAGAATTAATTTAACCATTCTGTGATGGTTTTTTGTGTATGACTGTGGGTCGCTGGATCACACGCCGATTGATTCCCGGTGACCGACTTTAATTGCCCCGCCGCTATCGAGGGAGGCGCGTTATATAATTGTAAACAAACAAGGTGAATGTTGAAGCCGTGCACTTAATGGCTGTGAATAGTATTTGTGCATTTAGTTATGTTTTATTTTCTCACTATATTGTTTGCTTTTATGTGATACGAAGAAAAGATGATATTTTATTTTCTTCCCTTTTTAGTAGACTTGGTTTATACAATTTTTAAAAAATGAAATAAAAGGGAAAGTTGTCAGTGAATAAAGATGATAATTTGTAGGAAAAAAAGCACAAACACTTCGAGAACTTTATTCTGAAGAATATTAGCATCCAATGTAGCCATGTGTATTATTTATAGTAACTTGCTTTGGTTATTAGCATGAGAAGCTCTCGTTTACGTGTTGAGTGAAAAGAATTACCTGTGCTTATATAAGTCATGTGCCAGCTCATTTAAAACAAGACTCGAACACAATTACAATTTCATGAGATCAGTAAGATGTTGAAGCACAACTTTATAATCGATAGTCATTTCGAAATATTTACCGTTTTTGAGTTATAAAGCAAAAACTTTCAAGGTCCCTTGATCCCTATTTATAGGGGCCAGCCCCTTTTGTATATTATTATATGAAAGCCCTTGCAATTATGCACAACTTTTGTTCATTATGTCTTAACAAAATATTTTTAGTTTTCAAGATAAAAAGGAAAATATGTGTAAATTTTCGCTCTTTTAGGCGTTCTAATTTTTGACCCCTATATAGCGCCATTGTAAATACAGAAATCGAAAAACAAAAACCGATGTGCACAACTTCAATCCTTCTGTTACCTAAAATCAGTAAAAATTCTGCTTCAGCTTTTGTGGTCTCTGAGCCTTTATCCGGAAACGAAAGCCTATAAATTTTCGTTTAAAGGGAAATAACTCAAAACCGGAAGTGACTTTTTGAAATTTTAGTCAGCATTCTGGTAGAGTTTATAAACGTCTATAACCTCTGAAATTTTGAGCGAAATCCGTTGAGAAATGAGTGAGATATGAGGCCTCAAAGTTGCGGTTTAGGAAGTAGAAGAAAAAAAAAGAATAATAATCTTTACCATCAGAATCAGTAGAAGGTCTTCCGTTGGAAACGGAAGACCTTAATGATTCAGTACTTTTAAATGCAGTTAGCAAGCTGCCATCCCAAGGGGATGGTATTTAACAAGATAATATAATATTTTCTAATTCATAATTGAAAAATTAAGAGTTTAATTTTGGATGGACAGATTCATTTAATATCGATTTGCAAAAATCTTGAAGTAAAAAAAAATGATTTGCAAAAAATAATTGGGGTAATTCAGACACATAATGAATTGTAAGTTGTATTAATTCACACATAAGAAAACAATGGGTGAGCTGTTGAACATATTTATTTTTCTCTGTTTTTCAGGACCTGGTGTGGAACATCCGAACTAATGCCCAGTATTTCTCTGTTTACAGGTGTGGAACATCCGAACTAATGCTCAGTGGTCAGTCCAGACATTGGTGGGACATAGTGGAACAGTACGCTGTCTCCATCTGGAAGGAAAACGATTGGTCAGCGGATCTACAGACAAATCCATCAAGGTACAAATCATACTTACCATTTGTCTTTTTTTAGCTCTACTGGTCAGAGACCAGAAGAGCTTATGCGATAGTAATGCGTCCGTTGTCCGTCCGTCTGTCTAGCTGTCTGTCCGTCTGTCTGTCTGTAAACAATTTTTCAAAATGCTACTCCTCCTACAGTTTTGGTCTGATTTCAGTATAACTTGGCACACAAGTAGACTACACTAAGATACATAATTCTATATATCGGTTTTTGATTTCGATGAACGATGTTGCCGTGGTTACTAAAAATAGAAATTTCTGTGAAATTCTTTCAAAATGCTACTCCTCCTACAGTTTTGGTCTAATTTCAATATAACTTGGCACACAAGTAGACTACACTAAGATACATAATTCTGTGTATCGGTTTTTGATTTCGATGAACGGTGTTGACATGGTTACTAAAAATAGAAATTTCTGTGAAATTCTTTCAAAAGTCTACTCCTCCTACAGTTTGTGTCTAATTTCAATATAATTTGGCACACAAGTAGAATACACTAAGATACATAATTCTGTGTATCGGTTTTTGATTTCAATGAACGGTGTTGACGTGGTTACTAAAAATAGAAATTTCTGTGAAATTCTTTCAAAATGCTACTCCTCCTACAGTTTTGGTCTAATTTGAATATAACTTGGCACACAAGTAGACTACACTAAGGTACATAATTCTTTATATCGGTTTTTGATTTCGATGAACGGTGTTGACATGGTTACTAAAAATAGAAATTTCTGTGAAATTCTTTCAAAATGCTACTTCTCCTACAGTTTTGGTCTGATTTGAATATAACTTGGCACACTAGTAGACTACACTAAAATACATAATTCTGTATATCGGTTTTTGATTTCGATGAATGGTGTTGCTGTTGGTACTAAAAATCATACATGTTAACCTCTTGTGATGAAAAATAGGGAGATTGAGACCTCAAAAGCGGTAGCATTGCGCGCGTTATTTTACGCTTGGATTTTCAATATTTTTCATGTAATATACATGTATGTAGCCTTAAAAGAAACCTACAGTAATTAATCTTTAATATCAACTGCAAAGAAGAAGACAGAAACACCTTAAGTTTGACATAAATTGTACAAATTCAAATATTTTTCATGCTCATCAGTTTGCTTGGATTGGCTGTTTAATTTAGCCTTTTGAAGTGTGATCTTTGCTGATATAGCCTAGAAGCAATAATTCTGAATGTTCATTCAATTGTTAAACAAAACAAATGATGACATGGTTTAAACTAGATCTAAAACAAGTTCCTGTCTTTCGTTATATAAATCAGATTTCCCGCGATGATCGAAAACGAAAGTAGAGATGTGCCACATGGCTTGGTCAATCAAGTGATTTCTATTGATTTTATTGATAAAATTATGAGCTCCTGTGCTTTTATAGACGATATCAAACGTTTTCATCCAATTCTTAAAAGCGTTATCTCCTTTTTCATGGCAGTGATGTTGACTAAATTTATCGTAACCAATGTAATCACTGGTAATCTTGTGCTGTTGTCGTTGTCAAATTCATGCTTGAAATCTATGTACACATCGATACTAAAAAAGCGTTTGTATGCTTCCGAGTCAAATCACGCGATATCTAACGAGATTTTATGAGATTGGCTTCTAAAATGGATACCCAAGCGAACCAAAAATACTTTAGACGCAACTTTTGTAGAAAAGCGGTAGATTTCTGAATTAAATCGGTAGGCGGGAGATTGAGTGAAAAAGCGGTAGACTCCCGCCTAAATTGGTAGAGTTAACATGTATGTAAAAATAGAAATTTCTGTGAAATTCTTTCAAAATGCTACTTCTCCTACAGTTTTGGTCTGATTTCAATATAACCTGGCACACAAGTAGACTACTACACTAAGGTACATAATTCCGTATATCGGTTTTTGATTTCGATGAACGGTGTTGCTGTTGTTACTAAAAATAGAAATTTCTGTGAAATTCTTTCAAAATGCTACACCTCCAACAGTTTTGGTCTCATATCAATATAACTTGGCACACAAGTAGACTACACTAAGGTACATAATTCTGTATATCAGTTTTCACTTCAATGAATGGTGTTGCCATGGTTACTAAAAATAGTAATTTCTGTTAAATAGTCTCAAAATGCTACCCCAAATACAGTTTTAGGCTAATTAAAATATGATGTGGCATGCAAGTAGACTACACTAAGAACATAAAGAGACTTAATCAAGATCATTATTCTATTTATTGCTGTTGAAAAGTTTCAATTTCCAATTGCTTAAGTGCTTTTCTCTTCCTTGGCTATAAGTACAAACCAGTAGAGCTTCAGTCTCGACAGAGACTTCTGGTTTTTATTTGACATTATTTTCAAGATTTTGTTACTCATGTGGAGACGTCACCATTTGCCAATGGAGAGCTGCAAATTCTGTACTATACTTGGGCATTTAAAGCCATTGAAAACCGAGGGATCTTTTTTGTGGCAACACCTACTGTGACAAGGGACCTCAATTTTTACAGTCTCATCCTAAGGATCGGTCCCCACGTCCCACAGTAGTACACACCTATTTGAACAAAAAAGTATAGATGAAAATTCCAGTGTATCACAACTTGACACTTCTACTATGCAATCGAAACCCTACAACAATAAATTTCTTCAAAACATGAAAAATTAACCTTCATGTAATTTTATGGGACATGGATATATGCTTAACATGTGCCTAATATTGATCTTTATCATGGACAGTGTATATGGCTCTTATTTCATAAATATGATATCTGTTTCTAATTTCATTAAAATTAATGTGTAAACAAGATATTTGATATAAGTTTTCCAATTAAAGAAGTATGAAGTATATTTTAATGATTTAACAAAATCACTATCACAAAAGTTTGTGCTGCTTAATTAGGGCTGTATCTATATATCAATACATATCGATATTCAAGTCTAGAATAATATCGTATCAAAAAATAACTTACAATACCTATCAAACAGACAGTTTTTCTTCTAATTCTGTTTAAAAGATGGGAATTTCAATCATCAAAGATTATATTTCATTTTTTTGAATTAAAACTGTTTAACAATTATATAATTTGTAAGGAAATAACACAGTTTTTATAATTGTTACAAAATACAAAGAGAATTTTATTTGAACATGTTGATTTTACTGTCATTAAAAGTTTTAATTTGAAGTGTTATTTGTAATGACAATGAGACAAGAACTTTAAAATGGGTAATAAAACACTTAACTGTTATGAAATTCGTGCATTAAAATAATTTAAAAGCCTTTTCTGATGGACTTGTTTCAGAATCCAATATATCACATATCGCTTTAAAAAATATTGTATCCTATTGTATCAAAATTTTTGGCTCAATACACAGCCTTATGCTTAATGCAAATTCCCATACCTACAAATGACTTATTTAAGTAAATGTTTTTGCTGAATACACTATGATGAAACAGAATTCCCTGGTATTGACCTCAAGAGATTTGATTAAAGGAATCAAAGTACTGTAAAAAATAAATTGATATATAGTATAAAAAGGGGGGGGGGGTTAGTTTAATATTTCTCTTTCTAAAGGTGAGTGCTTCTAGATGAAAAAAATTATTGGTTACTGTCACCATACTTAGATATAGACAAAGAAAGCTCAGTAGTCATAGCATCTAAGCAAAGTTCTATGGTGCTTGTGTTTAGACATAAAAACTGCTTAATCTTATTTAATGTGAGAAAATCTAAGTAAGCTTAGTATATAGGTGATGGTATTTAGACAAACAAGAAAAAAAGTTCCTTGATAACAAGTCTTGACAAAAAAAAATATATGGAGAATGAGTCTAGACAAAGAAATTCATTTGTCACTTAGTTTTTGAGAAAAAAAAATTAATCTGTGACACATACAGTGTCTAAATTAATTTTTAAGTTCCTTGAGCTTAAATTGTGTTTTGCTTTTGTACTTTTGTGCAATAGGAATTGCTGCCTAATTATTGGATACAGTAGTTGATGAGCATTTTGTCTACTTATTGATCTCTGTTGATTTTTGTTTTATTTATTTATTTTTTTGGGGGTGGGGGGGTGGTGGGGGGTGGAGAGGTACAGTATGTTAATAGATTCAGTTATAAATGTGTGTGTGTTATCCAGTTAACACATTGTCTGTACTCATTGTTCTTTATCCTCTGTAGGTGTGGGACTTGTCCACTCAGGAGAGCTGGTCCAGTATAGCCTGTAAGGTGACCATGATAGGACACACAGAGACAGTCAGGTGTCTACAGGTAAATACAGAGACAGACAGGTGTCTACAGGTAAATACAGAGACAGTCAGGTGTCTACAGGTAAATACAGTATATAAGACACACAGAGACAGTCAGATGTCTACAGGTAAATACAGAGACAGTCAGGTGTCCACCGGTAAATACAGAAACAGTCAGGTATCTAGTATCTACAGGTAATTACAGAAACAGTCAGGTGTCTACAGGTAAATACAGAGACAGACAGGTGTCTACAGGTAAATACAGAGACAGACAGGTGTCTACAGGTAAATACAGAGACAGTCAGGTATCTGCAGGTAAATACAGAGACAGTCAGGTGTCTACAAGTAAATACAGAGACAGTCAGGTGTCTACAGGTAAATACAGAGACAGTCAGGTGTCTACAGGTAAATACAGAGACAGACAGGTGTCTACAGGTAAATACAGAGACAGACAGGTGTCTACAGGTAAATACAGAGACAGTAAGGTATCTGCAGGTAAATACAGAGACAGTCAGGTGTCTACAAGTAAATACAGAGACAGTCAGGTGTCCACAGGTAAATACAGAGACAGTCAGGTGTCTACAGGTAAATACAGAGACAGACAGGTGTCTACAGGTAGATATAGAGATAGTCAGGTGTCTACAGATAAATACAGAGACAGTCAGGTATCTGCAGGTAAATACAGAGACAGTCGGGTGTCTACAGGTAAATACAGAGACAGTCAGGTGTCCACAGGTAAATACAGAGACAGTCAGGTATCTGCAGGTAAATAAAGAGACAGTCAGGTGTCTACAGGTAAATGCAGAGACAGTCAGGTGTCTACAGGTAAATACAGAGACAGTCAGGTGTCTGCAGGTAAATACAGAGACAGTCAGGTGTCTACAGGTAAATGCAGAGACAGTCAGGTGTCCACAGGTAAATACAGAGACAGTCAGGTATCTGCAGGTAAATACAGAGACAGTCAGGTGTCTACAGGTAAATACAGAGACAGTCAGGTGTCTACAGGTAAATACAGAGACAGTCAGGTGTCTTCAGGTACATCCTTCAATTTTATTGTTTTACTGTTAATTTTACTGTTGTTTAAGAGGCATTCCTCTGTATTCCTTTCTTATTCTGTTATTTCAGTTATTCTCCTGCATGTGGTCTTTAGTCTTCCTCATCTTGCTGCCATCCCAAGGCTACTTTACCTTTATAATCATCTTCACCTTCTAAGCTTAGTTTGAAACATTACTTGACATAATAATTCTTACTCAAAAGACTAAGCTTTTATGATCTGAAAACAGTTTTTTTTTGTTGACAGGTTGATGATGATAAAGTGGTCAGTGGATCATATGACAAAACACTCAAAGTGTGGGATATCAGGAGTGGAGAGTGTAGGATTACACTCAGGTGAGTTATAAGGTAGCTCAGACACTCAGGTGAGTTATAAAGTAGCTCAGACACTCAGAGTGTGGGACCTCAGTAGCTCAGACACTCAAAGTGTGGAAAATCAGGAGTGGGGAGTGTAGGATAACACTCAGGTGAGTTACAAGGTAGCTCAGACACTCAGCTGAGTTATAAGGTAGCTCAGACACTCAAAGTATGGGATATCAGGAGTGGGGAGTGTATGATAACATTCAGGTGAGTTATAAGGTAGCTCAGACACTCAGGTGAGTTATAAGGTAGCTCAGACACTCAGGTGAGTTATAAGGTAGCTCAGACACTCAGGTGAGTTATAAGGTAGCTCAGACACTCAGGTGAGTTATAAGGTAGCTCAGACACTCAAAGTGTTGGACATCAGGAGTGGGGAGTTTAGGATTACACTCAGGTGAGTTATAAGGTAGCTCAGACACTCAAGTGAGTTATAAGGTAGCTCAGACACTCAAGTGAGTTATAAGGTAGCTCAGACACTCAGGTGAGTTATAAGGTAGTTCAGACACTCAAAGTGTGGGACCTCGGTAGCTCAGACACTCAAAGTGTTGGATATCAGGAGTGGGGAGTGTAGGATTACACTCAGGTGAGTTATAAGGTAGCTCAGACACTCAAGTGAGTTATAAGGTAGCTCAGACACTCAGGTGAGTTATAAGGTAGTTCAGACACTCAAAGTGTGGGATATAAGCAGTGGGGAGTGTAAGAAAACAGGTAAATTATAAGGTAGCTTGGACTTGAGCTTGAAACTAAGCAGACTAGTTTTTCTTATGTTCAGGTGAATTGCAGGGTAGCTCATAAGTGAGCTCCAGGTTAGATGGGGGTCTAAAGCTATGGGGAGTGGAAAGGGAGCTCCCTACCTCACAGTAGCAAAACATGGACTTTGCCTATATGTGAGGGGAGTTTTCATTTTGTGAGCTCAGTGCTCTTAGTACGCCTAATCTCTGTATTATTTTATGGGTACTTGTGATGCCTTAACTAGTACTTTCTTCAGTATCATGATCATGTTTGTATTTTTGTGATTTTAGGGGCCATCAGGCAGCTGTATTGTGTGTTCATTTCAATGACACCAAATTAGTTTCTGGTTCTTGTGACAAGACCATCAAGGTAAATACATGTCTATTTATAATTATATAGGAATCTTGTCCATCTGCCCATCAAACGTGAATCTTTCTTATGAAGGGACATTAGAATTACTTACAAAGATTGCCCATGACCTAAGGGTGTGTCATGACCTTGACCCAAGGTCACTGGAAGAAAAAGTTCATAATTCGTGTCCGGTCCATATCTTTCTTATGGATAAACTTGGTAGGTTCTCATTTCACCAAAGATTGCCCATGACCCAAGGGTGTGTCATGACCTTGACCCAAGGTCATTTGGGGAATTTCAAGGTCACTGGACACCTTGTCATAATTTTTTGGATAAACATGGTAGGTTCTCATTTCACTCAAAGATTGCCCATGACCCAAGAGTGTGTCATGACCTTGACCCAAGGTCATTTGGGGAAGTTCAAGGTCAATGGAAGAAAAAGTTCATTGTTTATATATTTCACACAAAGATTGCCCATGACCCAGTGGTGTGTCAAAATATTCACGGCACAATATGATTCATGTGTGATACATATCTTTATTATGGAAAAACTTGCTTATGAAAAAACCCAGGGGTGGGTAGTTTGTCCCGTTTGGACAGTTCTAGTTATCTTTTTCTTTGTTATCTGTATTAAAAAGCATGAATGAAACTTTGCTGTTGAATTTTATATGGGGGGATGTTTGTCTAGGATTTTCAATGCAATAATAAAAGTGTAATAGGATTTCATTTAGAAAAATTCTCAAGAAAAGAAAAGATTTCAGAAATTAGATATTGGGGTTGAGATAGAACATTATTCATGGATATTAACCAGAGATGCTCTTTAATATTTTTGTCATTGCTACATGTATTACAGTAAACTAAAAATTTTAAAAGGAGGAAAAGCCTATTTAATATTGCCATAGCTTTGCTGAACCAAAAGCCCTATTTATAGAACATTTTTCCTTTTTCTGTGTTGTAAAGGTGTGGAATTATGAGGGTGAGTGTCTGAGGACACTGATGGGACACCAGGACGCGGTCACGTGTCTGCAGTTTGACTCGACTCGGATCGTGAGTGGCTCCCTGGACTGTACCCTGAAGTTCTGGGATATCCATAGCGGGACCTGTGTTAACACCATAGACTGGAAGGATGCAGAGGGGCACACAGGGGTTGTCAGGTAGAGATTTAAAAGGATGGTAGAGGATGTAGGGAGAAGTACATGGGGGTTGTTAGGTAGAGTTAAAAGTCAGGTACCTAATCTGGAGAAGAGCCCAGAGGGATTGTCAGGGGGAGATTTATAAGGAGGAAGGGGATTTTTATAAAGGAATTGTAAACTGAATTGTTAAATTTACTTGCCCAAAGGACAAGTGAATATAAAAGTTAATGTCCATCCCTGGAATTGTTAAAACTACTGGACAGTTAATTTGTAGGATGTCATGTTTTGTTCTACAGAAGATTCTTTTTAAGTGTATAGATCTTGAATTATCTTTCTTTGTCACATGAATATATACAGACACAATGTTTTTAATCTTCATTGGAGGTTGGTGAGTGCGGCAGATGATAAAACTATCAAGGTAATTATATCCTTAAAGATATTCATCTTACAGTTATTTAACAATTTGCTTTTAAAAATAAAAAAAATTACAGGACATACTAAAAATTTGCCAGACCAAAGGTAGAAACAAAATGTAAAAATTGAATTTGATATGTGATTGGTGGAACTCTTTCGCGGTGGAGGTAGAAAATGTCTGTTGGATGGGGACAATGTGCTAGTGATTACAGTGCAAAATGGATCATTTTGGAGTATATAAAGACAGTTAAAAAATAAATCCTGTTGAAATTCCTTGCTAAACATTCGCTGAATCACCGTAATAAATTTTGTAAATGAGCTAGTCCTCAGATGATACAATTTTAACAATTATTTTTCACGAAGCTCATTAATTTTTACTGAAAATCATTACTTTTGAAACCTAATTATTATTTGGCATCCTTAAAGATATTGTTTGAATCATTTGATTGTCCTACAATCATTATTTTGATTTACATATGAGTAACACTCTTACAGATTCAATTTCACAAAGTTTTGAAAAATAATGCATTATTTCATTAAATGCTTTAATTATATTTTACCATGTGTTTACTATTGATTATTTTGAAATATCTACTGGACACGGTGTCCGGCGTGGTTCTAGATACTATCGGACTCGGACGAAATTTACCGAGATAACTCTGTATTTACATATGGTAACACTCACTAAAAATAATTACACTTGTGAGGTACCGGTTTGATATTACTGATACAAATGAACTGTAAATAATTGATAATTTTTTATCATTCTTGTTCATTGTCTATATTGTTCTATCAAAAAAATTAATTTTTCAGATCATGCTACCACCGCTATAACTTTTTTGTAATGATACAATTTGATAAAAATGCCTGTCAGAAAGTAAAAATTAAATGTTTCATGATATTTAATGGTTTGACCTTGACCTTGTTAGGTGTGGAACCTGGAGACGGGGGAGAGGCTGGTTACCCTGAGGAACCACACAGACGGGGTGACATGTATGCAGTTTAACGACTTCATCATCGTGTCGGGATCCTACGACAAGACGGTCAAACTGTGGGATTTCAGCTGCTGCTAGCTACTGCTAGCTGTCAGGGATCTTATGACAAGGCGGTCAAACTGTGGGATTTCAGCTGCTGCTTGCTGTCAGGGATCTTATGACAAGATGGTCAAACTGTGGGATTTCAGCTGCTGCTAGCTGTCAGGGATCTTATGACAAGATGGTCAAACTGTGGGATTTCAGCTGCTGCTAGCAGTGGGATCAGATGAAAAAAATCTGCCAAATTGTGGGATTTCAACTGCTGCTACGTGTTGGGATCATACAGGCATTTAAAAACTGTGTCAGCCATAAAGAATTGGTAAAGGACAATTTATTTTAAGGTTCTACAGCTATTGTCATTAAACTTGGGAGGCAGCTGAAAGTAGAAGTGCTCTAATTGATAAATGTAAAGGGACTGTTGTGATTTGAAGATTCAATCTTTTAGTTAGAAGTGACAATGTGGATGAAAGTGTCCTGCGAAAAATTTTGATTTTGTCTTCAAAGGATACAAGAACAGAGAAGAAAATGGTTTGATTGAGAATTTTAAATTGTGAAAACAGTTTTATTATTATTATAAGAGAAGACTTTTTAATTTAAGAGAAGATGTGTTGAATTGAAGTTGGTTTGATTTTTATAAGTTTAGCATATGAGTTGTCTTTCCTTAGTAGATAGTTTTCATATATTTTGATGATTGGTTGTGAAGTACATGAATTTGCATAGAAATAGATCTGTATAAGAGAGAGAGAGAACAAATGACAACACAGAAACAGAAATCTCCATCATTTTTTGGAGAATTTTTTTTTGTTTAAGAACTAAAGCAGAAAATCCAAATCTGCAGGGATTGCTGTATTTGTATATTGGCAGATTTGTAATCTGATTTATTTTGATTGATCTCAAAGATTTCATGTGTTACCATTTTGTTTCTTTGTTAGATAGGTTATATTTTTCCCCTATTTTAGCTAGCATTGTCAATTGATATGTCCATGGATTTCAAGGATCTCCTAGAAATGTTTTGATTATTTTATGTACAAATTTGTGATGTTGAAAGTATTTAAAAATCTACTGCCTAAAAATGGTATATCAGATGCAGAACCGATTTTTCCCTCAAGTAATGCCAGGGATACAGTCATGTGTATCATGATGCAAAAAATAATTTAAAAAAAAAATTACAATGTCAACAAACCAGACAAAAATCAAACAAAACAAACAAAATAAGTTAAAAAACCATCTCTTTATCCAGAGTATAAGGTTATAAATGGCTTACAATTAGGGAAAATAAATATTTTTTTGTACATCACATAAAATAGAGTCATCCTTGACTTAATACAGACATCATCCTTGAACTTCAAATCTTCATCTTTGTGATTAGTTTTGATGGTTTTCGGGAAGGAAGAAAAATTGAAAAATGATAAATCTGTATGCTTGAAAATAACTAGGGTGTACTTTTTTTAAATATGTATTTTTTATATAACTTTAGGTTGTAGCTATTATGAAGGAAATGTTGTGAACCCCACGTGTTGTGTTTGTATTTTATTTTTTTGCTCATTAATATAGAACACAATTCTCAGTACATTTTCTGTGATAATGACATTATTTTACAGAATTCTGGTTGTGAACTTGTGCTGTACTGTAGTTCATAGAATATTTCCCATAGGTTGTTAATTGAAAATGGTTTAGTCATGTAGTCTAAGTACACACTTTATTGAAATTGTAAAAATAATTCCCCAATTTCTTTCTTTTTGAAGTGACGTCAATAGTGTGAACATTTAACTGTTCAGTTCTGTTATGAACAAAAACATAACATTGGTAAAATTCAAGTTTTTTTTTCTTAAGAAAGGCCATCTTTGCTTATGTTGCTAGATAAGTTTCTAACTCCCTCAAATCCCCTTGGCAGATTTAGTAGGTACATTACTGATATCTATTGAATTATTAAGTTTTCACTTTCAGCCAGTCAGATCAATGGATTGTATAACTCTTTTTTTCAAAATGATTGGATGCCTTGGAACATCAAATTAACCAATGAGGAGCTGAGGGGATACTCACTGGACAGTTGGCTAGCAAAAATGTAGAAGGCTTTAGATAAGATTTTATACTTATAACTTAAGTAATTCAGGTATTATTCTTTTGACTCTTTTTTTTCTTTTGAATTATATTGTATGTATTTGCATTTTCTTTATATTTTAGCATTTTAATGATTAAAATACAAGTAATCAGAAATATTATTGTAAATCACTTTTTATTCGCGAGAACTTTAATTTCGTGTAATTACGCGAGACAGGATGCTCGCAAAAATTTCATTCTCGCGTATAATAGAATTCCTTAAGATTATATAGAACAATGACCACAATTCATGAAAATTTTGTTTCACTAATAAAGAGTCAATGATTATATCGCGAAAATAAGGTGTCGCGAAAATTAAGTGATCTACAGTATAATGTTTGGTTTACATGCACTAGGACTGTTGATTTCCATAGAATACATTTAAATATAAAAGCTGCATTTAAAAGAAAAGCATTTCAGTAAATTATACTCATGCCTTATTGATTGGCATTAGAATGCATTGTCAAGTGTTTGTGAAAGTGCATTAGCCTCAAAATTTATGGATTTGTTCGCCAGTTGTACGATCTCAATTCTTGGAAAAATCAAATATTATACAGTTAATAAATGTACAATAGTATTAAAATTTAAATGAAAAAAAATAATTCATTCTTCAATCATATGATAAAAACATACAACATTGTGAAAAGTTCAGTATGAAAATACTGCTACTGCTTTTTAGTGCATAATACATGTATACATTTAATATATTATGTATAACTAAATACATGTTTCATTTGATTTTAATGCATCTAAAGGGAACAAAAATTCCTTGCATTTTATTGAGCATAATCAAAAGAGACACAATCTGTATATTATAGGTTTGATTATGTAATTAGAAGAGTGTAGGTAATTAATTACTAAATAGTGTCAGTGTCAATGGAAATGTCATTTCATGAATTTCGTTTACAATGTGAAACACTGATCAGTAGAAATTTCTAGCCTTGCCCGAATAAACACCATTTTGATGTCAGTTAAATATGGGAATGAAGTTTATGAACAACTATAATTGGTTTCAACATTACCTTAAAAGATGTGTTTAAAATAAGAGTTTCATTGAAAGGTATTTAGGTAATCAAGGGGAAATGCATTAATCTACATGTATAATTATGCATTTCTACTTCATGTACTTTATATGTGCACATGAATCATGATTTTTAAGGCAAGTATTTTTTTTTCTTTATCATTTTATGGTACAATCTGTAGAGCTGTAATTTATTCACATACATACATGTATGTACAATCATTTTTTATTTATTTTTTTTATGTACTACATTGATTGCATTTATTTCGATAACTTCTACATTGTATTTATTTTCTTTTTAAAAATTGATTTAAGTTAAAATATTTAACAAAGGGGAACCATTCTTCATTTTGGCATAAGTTAAATGAGAATTCTATCAGAATGTTCATGCACATGTAGTGTATGGGAATTCAGCGTCTTACATTTGTATCTCTTCTTTATTTTTAGATGATTGTAAAGACAGACATGCTCTTTTGTTGTTTTCTTATTATATAATGTCTCTCTGTCCTCACTATTATACATGTAATATTCTTGTTCTCCCACTTCTGTACTGATGTTCACCATACACATGAATGACTCAAATAAATTCAAGTCAACAGATTGGCTACATTATTTTCAATTCATTATTAGAGACAGGTACAGTACAAGTGTAAGAGACAAAGCACAGGTGATTGTACTGGAAAACTGCGGTGCAGCATCTTTCAGCACCAAATTTTATTAATGCAATACTAAATTACCCTTATTTGGCTTTACTGTAACAAAATAAACATTTAGTTATTTGTCGGAAACTCCACCCCTGACCCCCTGTTGCTACGTGCCTGCAGTTCAAAGACGGAGTCAATATTCAACAGGGTTAATTTTCAATGTGTCGATCACAGATTCGGAAAAAAAGAAACTATTGAAAAATGACCCTGGTTATAGATTTGACGACTTTTGATCGCAATTGTCAACGGAGAAAAAACACCCTCGGTTCAATATTCACGTTAAAAATGAACCCGGGTCAATTTTTAATCAACATTCTACATTACAACTGCAATGGACATGACTATATTTAAGGTCTTCCGTTTCCAACGGAAGACCTTCTACTGATTCTGATGATTAAGATTATTCTTATTATTCTTTTTTTTTCCTTTTCCTAGACGCCAACTTTGAGGCCTCATATTTCATTCATTTCTCAATGGATTTTGCTCAAATTTTAAGAGTTTATAGACGTTACTAAACTCTATCAGAATTTTGTCTAGCATTCCAAAAATTCACTTCCGGTTTTGAGTTATTTCCCTTTAAGCGAAAATTTATAGGATTTCATTTCCAGACAAAGGCTCGGAGATGGCAAAAGCTGGAGCAGAAATTTTACTGATTTTACACAATAGAAGGATTGAAGTTGTGCATAGCGGTTTTTGTTTTTCGATTCCTCTATTCAAAACGGTGCTATATAGGGGTCAAAAATTAGAACGCCTAAAAGAGCGAAAATTTACACATATTTAGCTTTTTATCTTCTAAACCAAAAATATTTTGTTAAAACATATAGAATAAAATTTGTGCAGAATTATAAGATCTTTCAAATGATATCTCGAAAAAAGGGCTGACCCCTAAATTAAGGGATCTAGAGGGGCCAAAAATTTTTTCCAGATATCTCAAAAAGTATTGAGAATTTGTAATACGTCCAAGAAGCAATGTTGTTCAAAATGTCAAGCTTAATCTATTACAGTCGTCAAAATGCGTCCGGTGACGTCACTTCCGGTCAAACAGGAAGTCGTCAGAAAATGCATATTTTTGCCATTCTTGACAAGTTTTTGGGTAACATATGTCACTGGAAGCATAAAACTTAATTTTCCGTCCGTCGACATCACTTCCGGTCAAACCGGAAATAGCCAAAAATAGCTTATTTTTTAAGGCTTTGATGCAAAATTGAAATTAT